AAATAATTACCTTGCAATCCCAAGGTGTTGGAACAGCTCTTCTTCCCCTTAACATCTGGGTAAATTAGAGACATAATTGTAATTGGACCCTGGACACCAGTTATACCTTCAGGAGATTCAACCTCAAATGCTCTATACCTTTATACTTGGGCAGACAGCATGAATGAGTCCCCAGGTAGCTAATTGTTCCATGGGATGAAAAAAGATTCTGCCCGAACTCCCTACACATGTTTTCAAAACACTAGCAACTCATAAACCACTTTCCAACTGATATGGAGGTTTCTGGCTAAATTTCATAGACAACACAACAGAAGGAAGAGAGTTCAAAATTAGTTTTCAAAAACTCAATCTCCTTCTCTCAGCTCTAACCACCCACGGCCTCGTTTCCACTTAACAATACGCTGATTTGAAGACCTTAAACAATACTAAACTTTCATCTATTCGTTTCCATAGGCACCATTTGAAAGCAGGCTATGACCCATCATGATATGTTGAGTTTGGATGCACCCAAAGGACAATCTATACGCTGCACATAGAGAGGAGTGTAGGTGTTATTTTTTCACTCTAGTCAATGTTAACAAAATGAAAGTTTGATAATAACAAAAATGTTTGGGTTTTTCTAAATCTAAAACAAATTATTTTTGACAGTTTACAAAATAAATATAAAAAAAAAACAAAAAAACCCCAAGAAACTCAAGAAATTCTTAGTGGAATTACATTGCGTTCAGCGAAGCACCTCAAACAAAAAAAAACAACCTATAAAATGCCTGAGTGTGTAAGAATAAAAAAGCACTTTGAGATTATTTGGGATGAGAAGTGTTATAAATGTGACCAATTCTTATACCTATTAAATGTTTGTGCTGGAATGTGCGCCAAAGACAAACACAGAGTCGTCAACATAATCATTGTTAAATTTCCATAAAATAAAAAGAGAAAGTCAAATTACTGTGCTGGCCTCCTCTAAATGTTGGGATTTGTTAACAGCTTGTAATGGCTCGATGATGTGTGATATCCATACTAATAAGACAATCCACAGGTTAATCAAAGGTTACCAAGCAGTGACTCACTTTTTATGAGGAGGCTGGTAACATCCTGATCATTAATGGCCACTTATAGAGCTGTTAAAATCCAGAGCATGTTTTATGAATCTAAGCATATGTCTCAATTACATGACATTTTCTGCAATGAAAACCTCTTCTCGTGTTTTGCATTAATTTCCACAAATCTCTGGAGTGCTCATTCTTGTGTGTCAAGGCCTGTGCAGTACAAAGGCAATAGGGATTAAAAAAAAAAAAACATCGCTAATGATTTTCAGTGCCAGCGTTCTTTTCCCTTTGGGAATTTCAGTAGTGCTGAGACTATGTGCTTAAGTCAGAAAAAACAATTCTGTCTGTGCAGACTATGTAGACCCGAGAACTGTATGAGTCACTGCATTCTCAGCTTAGATGTTCACTGAGACCTGTGTTTTGTTGAAATAGACGCAGCTGATGTAAAGATGGAAACTATACCGACTGTAACGTAGATCCTGCAGCTCTCTCTACATATCAGAGCAGAATAGGTGCAAAATTATACAGAAAGCTGTATCAAGCAAAGTAGGAGATTTATGATGAGTGGGAACCACAATTACAACCAAAGTTTATGCTAGGTTGCACAGGAAATCACTTTTATGTATTTATTTTAGAAACTGTTCTGCCCTTTCTACACAATGCTGAAGTAACACGGAGAACACACTGTTCATGTGACAAGGTTTCTTTGTACTATTAAATTCATTTATGCATTGAAAAGCTGCATACATTTACTCCTATTTGATTAATAAATATGTCCGCTTCACAGATAATAAACAATTTTATAAACAGAATACATTTGAGTGAATTAAGGTTTTTAAAATTGTGACTTACAACCTTCTTTGGATGCGAGTATAAGATGTTGGACTAACAAAATTAGCAACAAAGGTCTTTAAAGCTCTAAATGTTTTGTGTTTAATAAAAGAAAAGACGCTTCAACCTATAAAGAAGGTTCTTCTTAGAGAGACTTTAAGTTTTACCAAAGAGAGGAAACAAGCAAATTATAAAGAAACATTAGCCATATTTTATTTTCTCGAAGGATGTGATATTTTCATAATACTGTATATAACGAGTATATAACATGATTTGAAAGTCAGTAATGCTAGTCAACACACTTTAATTTATGCACAGCTGCAGATCTGTTGGGTCTGTACTTTTCTATCCCTTATCTCAGTTCCTCTATTTGAATTTTTTTTAGAAAAGGGGAAATTACCAAAGGACAGGCTTTTAACATAGATTTCTGTATTTCAAAAGGAAAGGGACGCTATTTGCTAACAGCATTTTGAAATTGAATTGAACATATGTGGTACCACTAATAAGACAAATTTAAGGTTAACATTGTAAACTCATTTGAGGGTCTTTACAGACTAATTTCTATTAAATGTAATTGGGTTGGATGCAGTAACAATTAGGAAATCTGTACTCTAGGGGACTTTGCATTGTCTTAAACTAGAGAAGAAATTACCCTAATCATCTGGCATAATGTTGATTCCTGCAGCACAGAATAAATTGTCAACAAAGCAGCTGCAGTCTTTTAATGAACCTGTACACTTGACGTTGTGCTTCTTCATATTATCTTTATGGCTTTGTTATTATAACAAATGACAGAAAAAGAGCATCTTTGAATTACAATGGTGAAACCCAGGCATTGTAATCGTATTACAAGCTTCAGGCAGACCAGTTAGTTTTCTTAGTGTAACCACTTCGTAATATTTTTAAGTGCCCAATGAGTTGCCTTTTAGTCTGATCCCTCAGGGCTGTCTAATAGTGGACAATAGTATTGATGTGCAAGGAGGCACTTAAGTGAGTTGTATCAAGACACCCAATTCATAGAGAGGTGCACAGAGGCACACAGTATTCTCAGAAATGCTTGGCACACAGTACACAGGGGTACACTGAGGTGTACAAGGAACACTTAAGTACACAGAGGCTTAGAATGGCATTGGGTTACAAATATGCACAGAACCACAGCATGGACCTACTGTACATGATGAGGAATGCAATACAGCCCTGGTCAACAGACAGAAGACTGTGGCATCCTCGCTTCTTGATTCTCTTAATTTTCTTTTAAAACCCTGGTAGAAGAAAAATACAGGCGGGAGAGAAAATGAGTTTAAAGAGCACCGAGTCTTAAAGAATAAGTAACAGAAAAAGTCGCCTGTTCTAAGTGAAAGGAAAGTTTTGAATTTTTTTTTTAAAAAGGAAAGTTATGCGAAGTAACTGCTCATCCCAAAATAAACACAAGGAAAAAAAAAAGGAAACGCCGACGTGAACTAGGAGAAAAGAACCCAGTTTCGACTTCATGAAACACACGACGGTGGGCAAAATTCAACCGCACACCATAAAGCCTGAAGCTAGTAAGCTAAACACAGAAATACAATTAAGTTGAGGGAGGGACTACTGTAAAACTTGAGCCCGATAGAAGGGTAGCTGTAAAAATTTAAGATTTAAGAGTTTGAATGTACCAGAGACGCATCGATCTGCGGTTCCAGGGAACAGGCGACTCCGGCGATCAGAGGGGTCATTTAGTGGTAGAAGTTGAAATTGAAAAAAAAAAAAGAAATATAAGATTCGGACTGCGCCTGTACTATCTCATAGTAAAGTCTACTTAGAGCAATCGCAGATCTAGCAGGGTGCCTGCTCCTCACCATATCAACCCGCTCATTATCCTATGAGGGCCCTTGAGTTGTGAAATCCTAATGGAGCTCTCAAGAAGAAAATATTATGAAGACAAAGTGAGGTTTGAAACAAATAAAACGTAGGGTTAGCGCTCTATATAATTCTGTGTGACAATAAACGTTTTTTTAATGGAAAAACTACTCCGCTTACAGAGTAGTTTCTTGTGGTCTTGCATCTTTTCCTTA